CATCGCAGTATTCTTCGATATCACCAACTCATACGACACCGTTTGGAGATTTAATATTATATCAAAATTACACAAATGGGGAATCAGGGGTAATATGCTAAGATTCATAGAAAACTTTCTTCAGTCAAGAGCTTTCTCTGTTCGCGCCGATAATTCCACTTCATCAAAAAAAATTCAGAAAAACGGAACACCTCAGGGGTCAGTTATGAGCCCAACTCTTTTTCTCGTGGCTATCAACGATATACTGGATCACTGCTCCCCGCTAGTTAAGGGAAGACTATATGCCGACGATCTGGTTCTATTTGCAAAGGGCAAGAATATGAGAATGATTCAAAAACACCTACAAGAATCTATTTATAAATTAGAGATATGGTCAATGTCAGTAGGCGTGCAATTCTCCCCACTAAAAACAAAATGCATGCTTTTCTCAAGAAGGCACCGGCCACAGAGAACATCTTTAAAACTGTATGGCGAGCCGCTCAAATTCTCAGAAAAAATTAATTTTCTCGGAATGGTATTTGACCAAAAACTAACATGGAAACAACATATTTTAGAAATAAAAAAGTCTTACCAAAATGGATTAAATGTAATGAAAACATTATCAAATAAAAAATGGGTATTCGACGAAACCACGTTATTAAATACTTATGTCACTCGTTAGATCAAAAATAGATTATGGGGCTATTGTGTATGCCTCCGCTAAAAAACATGTTACCAAGCAACTTGAAGTCATTCAGAACACAGCACTTCGCATTGCCATATGTGCCTTTAGAACCACACCAGTTAAGAATCTCCAATGCCTCACAGGAGAGCCACCTCTTAATCTACGAAGAAATTATTTATGCCATTCGTATGCAGCATCAGTCGCTAGCAACAAATTCCACCCAGTATTTCAAAATGCATTTACGGACCGTTACCTAGAAGCTTATTACACAAGTAGGTTCGATCCACCATTCTACGAAAGAGTTCGAAGAAATTTAAAAGATCTACAACTCCAAATTTCTGACCTCTTTCCTTCAAATGTAAAAACTCCACCTCCCTGGTTAATCATGATTCCCGAAATCAATACGACGCTACTCCAATATAACAAATCAGATACATCACCCACTGTAATCCGACAGTCATGTTTAAAGGAACTCGAGACTTACGGGAAAAGATTTTGCATTTATACAGATGCCTCCAAATCTGCAAATGACGTAGGAGCAGCATTTGTCACTCCATATTCCTCTTCCCAATTTAAATTAATGCCAGCCACTTCTATATACACAGCAGAATTATATGCAATATTACAAGCCCTCATTCATATCAAAAGTACAAACCATTCTTCTTCCGTCATTATCACAGATTCTCTAAACTCCTTAACAACAATCGGTCAACTATATACTAAAAACCCTATAGCCTTACTTGTCAAGAAAGAACTTGCTGCCTTACAAGAATCTGGTTCAGAAGTCAAATTTATGTGGGTTCCATCTCACACGGGAATACAAGGTAACGAAAACGCAGACCTCCAAGCAAGAGAAGCTACCAAAAATGATCAAGCTATAATAGTCTCAAAGACTATCTGCAGTGATATAAAACAGTTCGTTAAAGAAAAAGTGATTAGTGCGTGGCAAAATAAGTGGAACTTATCGGAATCTAAATTAAAAGAAATTAAATCGACAGTGAAACCGTGGCGCCTAGTGAACTTAAAAAGAGCTGACCAAGTCAAATTTTCTCGACTTCGATTAGGTCATACCAATATTACTCATAAGCACCTAATAAGTAAAGAAAACATTCCAGTGTGTGATTACTGTCAAGTCAATATTACTGTTAAACATATTCTAACAGAATGTGGAAAATATACAGTTAACAGACAAAATAACAATATTTCCAGTGACTTAAAAACAGTATTAGGTGAACATTTAAATACTAAAAACTTAATTAGATTTCTAAAAGAAACATCTTTATATAATTTAATATAATGTAACTAATGTAAACTAATGTCGCTAATGACCCAGGTGGTTGAAGCGACTATTATTAGTAAATAAAAAAAAAACAATTTCTTAACTTGTCATGAGGCAAACAAAATGAGGAAGCTGGGCACTAGATTATCTTGACGCAACCTTCAAAATTTGGCTTTTTAAAAACTCAGGCGCAATGGAATCATGTGGGTATCTTTTTTAAAGTTGTTTGGAACGCCGTTTTACAAATTCCTTGGGTAAGAGACGGCAGGAAACATAATAGTGATTACACTGACAAAAATTGACACATTACGTTCAAATATAATTATTTTTTTTTTAAAACAAATTTGTCGGTTACTTCAGCTTACCCACGCCGCATCTTGTCGCTTCAAAAACTTCTTCAAACCTAACTTAATTTTTGACTTTGCTTAACGCTCCGTACCGGCTTCCTTCTCAACAACGTTTTGCAGTGAAGGTTCAACCTTAACATGGCTTGGGTTTACGATTCGAAGAATTTTTAAATGGCAAAATATGAATTATTTTACTTGCAGCGGAATTTTTTTTAATGTTTTCAGACGCTAACGTCCCAAGATAAACAGAAAATCTACAAAATTTTGGGCAATGGTGTACACTACACCCCATAACCCAGGAATGTACCAAATAAATTTTATACATAGAATGTTTGATGGTTATAAGGAATTTACACATGTCACAACGTGATAAAAAGAATGTAAAAACCCTACAAAGGAAAACATATTAGATTATCTGCCTGTATATTATAGTATTATGTAAAGGTAAATCTAAAACTAATGTTACCTTAAACTATCTAAAAATTAGGTTAGATGAATAAGTCAATTTTGATAGCGGCAATAAGTAAGCAAAAATAAAAACCAATATAGACTTTCTCAAAACAGAAGAATTATTTAATTTAAACTAAAATATGATCAATTTGCCGAAAGGGTTTTAACGAGGGTACAGATACCAATATCTACTCTTCTCCTCCCGACATAGTATTTATCACCAATAAATACCGTCTACTTGTATCGATTATGTGGTTTAAGGCATACACTGTTAGGCAAAATATGCTTGGAGATCAACAACACACTTTGTGCAATTGTCTGATTACTTATGTTTATGTTTTACCTCGCACCAGAAACGACTGTAGAGAGAACTTCTGCCAGATTCAAAAATTGGAGCAACAATCTGTTTTCTACAACAAAATTACTGACTTTTGCATATTATAGGAGAGTGGAGCAATCTTATTAACACAAATAATATTTTAATATTGCATTAAGATGTTTGAATTTTTAAAACGTAATACTATCGTGCACTCACAAATCGACTACAACAGAGTTTTTAAATAGTTTTGCCTGGTTTTTGCCTTTCTGTTTGATGTCTAGTCCCAGCCAGTGTCTCGAAGTGTTAAGATTTTTTTATTCTTCGCCTGGACTTTACCGAATAAGAATATAACAAACTGGCAAAACGGAGATGAATCAACAGTTTTATTAAAAATTCCGCTCCTAAAAGAAATCACATCATTTTTATGAATGTCTTCCCACGAGACTCGTAAAATTACTTATTTATTACTTTTTAGCGGAGTGATATTAAAAGAACAGCTGTATGCTGAATAGGACTTAATATTCGTTGAGAAGAAAGGTTTTGTTTTATATTTGGCAATATTAAAGTTTAAGCAAAAATACATTTTGTAATTAGTTGTAATTTTTTTATTAGCAGCATAATAAATAGAATTATTTAGTTGTAAGTAGCTTAATAAGTTTAGCTGTATATAATTAGTTTTGTATGAAGCCATCTATGCAGCTATCTTAACTAATCATGATATTACATCTGTTTTACATGGTGTTACATGGAAATTAAAGAGATTATGTCACCGCATGCTTCAACAGTTAGAAAGTCTTGTTGCGTTCTGTACATACGATGACCTCAATGTTACAATTGGGGTCATCAGAAAGGGGAAAGAATATATTATGTTCAATCTAGAACTCGCTGGTTTCCCCCTTTCGCATTGAGTATGTATATTCCTATAGAAAAATAGTAAACGAGTAGACTATATAAACTATATTTAAAAAAAAAGAAGTTAAATCAAACACACATATACATAAACAAACATACAATCATAACTAAACAAGAATATCTAGATGCAGGATGTCGATGAATAAGTTTAAAAAACACATTAACAACAAAGGAATTTGAAATTTAGATTGCTATGGCTGAGTATGATTAGAAATAACGCATACATTGATATTAGACTGTAAAGAGTAAAAAATATGCACACCTATAATAATATAATTATGCCGTGGTAAAATTAACAAACCTTGATGAAAAGAGGTACACAAAATGCAATCAGACTTAAAAAATATGATATGATTAAAAAATAGTAAAAATAAAAGTTTAAATTCTGTATTTATGTGGTCGATAAGTGGTCTCAATTTATAAAGTTTATCGAAGCTATTTTCATCTTTTTTTGGGCATTTTGTCCTTTAAAAAATGCTTTACGCTCATAATGTTTGCTATTCTATACACTCGAAAATTTTAGTCATAAGTCCAATACATTCTTATCCCAGGAAGTTGATAGAATCCCATGATTATTAGGATTCCAGAAAAAGCTTGGAGTTTGTCTATCTCAACTGAAAAATCATGCCTATTTTGCCTTGCATACAGATTGGTTTTCTCAACAATCTTGTTTAGTAACTCATCTAAAAATAGTTTTTTAAATATATCCACAGGTGTTGCTTCTTTTATGTTAGGAAAGTTTGATCCAAAATTTTGTACAAAATTAAAATTTTTGAATTTGTCCTGAAATTTTGGGTTATTCTTCCATTTCATCGACAAATCACTTGCCAAATTAGTGGTTCTTTCTTCAATCTCGGGTTGATCTTCTGAAAGTATGCTTTGGCTTTGCATCTGTCCGATCTCGAGTTCTGGCAAACCAAAATCTTCGAGACTGATATCGTCCAAACTAAATAAAGATGAAACAAAACGTCTTTTTGAAGTTTTCTTTTCAGGGACATAGTTCTTGTCACCAATTAAGTCATCCGAGTCTTAGTCCATATCTGATCCCGATTTCTCAAAATTTAATAAACTTTTATTTCTTACCCTCTGCCTGGAAGGACGGGATGGGCCAGGTGTCGAAGAACTAGATGGATCAGCTATTAAAACATTAGATGAACGGGGTGTACTAGAACCGCTAGGTGTAGAGACTAACACATTGTCTTCGACATCGCTATTCCCCTCAATGTCAGATATGTCAACCATATCATCTGTAATGCCATCGATAAACTCATACAGTTGATCAGCAGATAAACGTTCTAGATCTTCGATAGTGATGTTGTCTCCATTTAAAGTCATTTTCTGCAACAAAAATAAAATAAAATCACGACAAGTTCTCATCACACAAAACATAACCAAAAATAAGACAAATAGTCTAAGTAACTCACTGGACTTCCTTAGCGCATATCTTGTTTCAATAAAATGCTGCAGAAATTGAGTTTTACATTATTATGCAATGAAAATTATACTTACAATTAGCTGTAATATTAATAATTTGAGCACAACACAATAAAACGTACAACAAATACACGTGGTTTTGAAATTAGACAGGAGCTCGCAACGGTTAGTGGCACACATAGAAGCCAGTTGTATCTTATTTTGAAGGGGGCAGGACAAGAGGCTTCTATACAAGGCAGTGAGCGTTACGCGCGACGTAAACAGCTATTACAGATCATAATCACTTTTGAATTTATGTGGCGTAATGGACTGTACTGTAAGTGGCTTCTATTGTGGCAGCTCCCTTAAATGCAGTCTTTCCCTGATTTAAAATTTATTTTACGTGATATGTGCATATATAACTACTCCTATCAATAGGTTACATTTTGTTACTATATTTTAATTACTTTTGAGCACATTAATTAATATAAGTGTCATAAATTGATGTTGCAATTTCGATTTTCACTTCGGAAATCATTCTCAAAATATTTTGTTTTACTACTTATTAAAAAGCAAAAAATGTTTCTAATAATTTAATTTTATTTGCTCTTATTGTCCATCGATCAATTTCTAGACATAGTATAGTTTCAACGTTATTTTTTTGACTTTGACAGGTCTATCAGAAGTAAACAGCGTATGCTTTGTTGATACGTTAGCAGGCTACTTACAAACATAATAATTTATTAAATAATTTGAATGTAATGTAATTTGTTTAAAGTATAAATAATAAAGAATGAAAATAAATTTAAAATATAAATAATACAATTACTAGACGCTAGTCGACAGTACCAACCACTGTACCAACTTTTTTGTCCCAAGTTTTTAAAGGGATATCATAGGAAACCTTTTCGCGTTTATTTATTTTAACCAAAATAATCTTCAAAGAAAGGGTTTAAAAGAACATCTATTTTGTATTTTTTTAATTTGACAATCAACTTTTATTAAATTATTATTTAGGCTTTTTATTTCAAGGATCATCAGTAATCGATTCCACTTTGTGCTTGAATAAGTGATCTTCTTTTAGAGGGTTATTTTGTATTTTAATGCATCTCTATTATTTCTGTACTTTCTCTTCCGGTTGAGAATTGCTTGAGAATATGGCATTGTCATTTCTATCATTCTTATAATTTTATTTGATATATTACTCTCTTATAAGTTTTGGATCATTTTTGTTCTGTTTAGTTTATTTAAAGTCTAGCAAAAATATATGTGTTTCTCCGTCGTAGTTCATAAATCTGTGTGTATATTACCTCTCCACCGTATTTTATAGGTTCTGCACATATTCCGCCTTTTCCCGCTGTTTTCCTGCTTTTAAGTTTGTACATTTTCTCTTTCACTTCTGTATATGCCAATTCTTCTTCTTTCTCATCCTGTTCTGTGTTCGTTATTGCTTCTTTTCCTTCTTCTCTATCCGTTGCTTGATCTATTTCTTCGAAATACTTCTGCCATTTTTCTGTTTCTATAGCTATATTAGATATTGTCCGTTTTCTATTACCTAGTTTTAAGTATAGGTACAATGGTTATGAGTTGTACTTTTTTTCTGATTCTATTTCGTTTAAAATTGTTTCTACTTTTTGATTTTTTTTATTTAAATAATTTCCTTGTCTTTTACTTTTGATCTTTGTATTTTTCTCGTTTCTCTTCTTTGCTTGTGCTTAACCATTTCAATCGTGTTTTATTCTTTTCTTCTAGTGCTAATTGGTACTTATCGTCAAACCAATTGCTTCCGCTTTTAATTTGCATGTTGTTAATCACTTTCTCTACTGAATTGTTTATTCTTTGTTAAATTTTTTTACTATTCATACATTTGTTGTTCTTTGAACTGTAAGAAGAAAATTGTACAAATTTTCTTCTTACTTCTTTCTCTTTCAGTTTATGTACGTCCCATTTTCTCTGTGCATTTCGCCTTTTATTCTTCGTTTTTTTATTATGCATTTTGCAGTCATTTATCGATTATTTGTGTATCTTTTTAGACAGTACATGGTGTAGTTGATTTCCCTCCAGACTTTCTGGTCTCATCCATGTTATTTTGTGTATGTCTTTTTGTTTATATCTCGTGCTGCTTATGTCAATATTTAATGCTGCTGCTAAATTACATAGCCTTTCTCCATTATTGTTTGTTGTGTCATGTATTGAGTTTGCACTCGCAACTTTTCTGAAGCAATTTTCTTTGCCTATTTGGCGATGAAATCTCCTATAAGGAATGATATATTTTCTCCCAGGATTGTCTGGGCGTAAATAAATGAATTTAGACAAGGAGATGCGCTTCCAACGGTACTATTTATTCTATCATTAGACAAGATAATAAAAAAGCTGTCAGACGCAGGAACTATAACCCATAACGCAGTACAAATAACAGGATATGCTGAAGATTTAACCATAACAGCAACGGATCAAAAGGCATTAAAGAAAACCTTCTGAAAAATAGAAAACGAAGCCAAGCTAAGAGGACTGTAAATAAATAAAAATAAAACAAATTAAATGAATGAAAGCAAGAAATAGAAGACACAAATGACAGAACTGACAAAAGATGCACACAGATTCGAAGAGGTTGAAACATTTAAATATTTGGGAGTACCTAAGAGAAGAAATGAAAGTGTAGATATGAAAAGATGAATTCAAGCGAAAATACAGCGTTTTGTAGAAATAAAAAAATGTTTAAAAACAAGAAAATAAGCCGAAACACAAAAATGATATTCTGAAAACGACCATAAGACCAATAGTAGTATGAGCTGCAGAAACAATTAAAGAAACAACAAGAAAATATTACCAACTTTTGTTTTTGAGAGGAAGCTTATCAGAAAATTACTGAGACTACAGAGGGAAAACAAGCAACTAGCAAGACAATGGATAAATCACGAAATACAAGAATGGATGGGCCAAGAAAAAAAAAAGAAAAACAGCAATAAAAGCACAAAGAACTAGATGGTATGGACACATATTGAAAGGAGAAAAGAGCAATCCGTAGGAGTTATAAAGGAATGGATACCACCAGGTAAACGAACTAGAGGCAGACCTAAATTAAGATGGAGACTACAAGTCTTCTTCTTTTTATTCTCGTAGCACTACAACTCGGGGTGGGTCTTGGCTGACTGCACAACTTTCTTCCATCTTAAACGGTCGTCCATAATAATTGGGTCAGTGGGTAGCCCTATTGTTCTTAGATCTAACCATACATTGTCTCTCCATCGCATTCGTGGACGTTCTAAGGGCCTTTTTCCTGTGGGGGCTTTCTCCCATAATAACTTGGCAAGGCTGTTATTAGGGAGTCTATGGACATGGTCAGCCAATCTTAGACGTTGGGATTTAATCTCTTGGACTATGTCGCTCACTCTATATATCTGCTTAACCTCAGCATTTGTTCTCATTCGGTATTGGTGGAAACAGCAAGTGGAAGTAGAAATATAGAAAGGACAATCAAAGAGAAAGAAGGATTGAAAAAGTAGTGGAAACAGCGAAGTCGCAACAGAAATTGTAAAACCAAATCAAGAATGAAATGATCCCCCACACAAAAGAGATCTTCATGTAAAAAGACCTTAGGCTTCTTCGTGAGCGTATAGCTTGTCTATATTATTGCATCTCTTTAGGAATATGCTGCTTGCGTAGATATAGATCTTTAGATGATGGGGTTATTACATCAAACTTTAAAATAGCTACTATATAAACTATTTAATTTAGCAAATTTATGTAAAATATTTTGATGTTAAATAAGCGTTGCAAATGTAAAACGTTTTATACCCCAATTTTAAAACGAAATTCTGAAGGTTAAATATAATAAATCGTAGTAAAATACTGAAGAGGAGATTTCCTTAAACACCTAAAATACTCTCTAAAATAGACAAAATTAAAGTGATGCTTTCTATAGTCACCGCCAATGATGAGACAGACCAAAAGATTATACCATATTCTAACATTACCGCAGTAAGATCATTATTAAGTTTCTTATTAAAAATTCCTCCTCTGGTAATATACAAATAGTGTCTGGAATATTCCTCTCGACTAATGATTAAAAATAATCAAGGGAGGACTGCCGGTCTGTGTCGCTTTCAAAAGCTAAAAGCAGCTCTAAAGTGTAAAGTATAATTAAAGTTGAATTCGAATAATCCTGCTTTTTACCATTATGCAGTTTGTATGAACAGAAAACATTTCTTTTAAACTTGAGTGTACCGTCTCATTACTTCATCGTTTTAACTTTATTAGGAACGGATAAAGAAACTGCTTTACATTACGTGAATATGCTGTTAATTGTATGAGGGCAAAAAAACGCTTTTAAATCATTACAGACACTTGTGAAAGCATTTATAAATTAAATTATAATACAGCAATTAAAATTTTATCGACAGTTCTTTGCGGAAATTATTTTTGTCACAAAATATTAGAATAATTTGGGTATTATATATAATTCGTAGTAAACTCACGTTACATAAACTGTCACTTACGCCAATGACACTTACAATGACAATGACATGGGCCCTTAATAAATACATTGAACAAATAGTAGTATGTTGCTCGCTCTATACATCTGCTTGACCTCAGCATTTGTTCTCATTCGGTATTGGTTGCCATTGATGTCGTGATAAGGCCCAATGATTCTTCTGGGGATTTTCCTCTCAAAGCATCTTTTCTTTCAGTTTCTTAGGTCAGGATCTACATCTCACACCCATACATGAGCACCGGTCTCACCAACGTTTTATATATTCTAATCTTTGGTGTTCGTGTTAGGCTTTTAGATCTAATAGTATTAAGGAGGCTGCACATACATCTGTTTGCTGCCTGAATTCTTCCTTTAATCTCTTCGGCGATATCGTTATCTGCAGTGAGTGTTACTCCGAGATACTTAACTCTTCACTCTTTCAAAGTTTATGAGTCTTTTGTAACATTTTTCCCTATTCTATCTCGTCCCTTTTGTCTGTTGATGCACGTGTATTTGGTTTTCTCTTCGTTTACCATTAAACCAGTCTTATTTGCCGCTACCTCCAATTTAATAAAGGTTTCCTTCACATTTATGACTGTGTTTCCCACAATCTCAATGTCATCTGCGTATGCTAGTAGTAATTTTGATCTATTTACTGTCAGAAATTCTGTTGTACTGCTTTTACCACTCCAGGTTGATATTAAAAAGGAGAAGTGACAGAGAACTGAAAGTTCTGCCATTTCATTCCACATCTGATCCCTTTTAATTCTATCTTTTAATTCTTTTTTTGTATTTAGTATATGCCTCTCCTTATGCTTACATAGTCTGAGCCTTGGATTGAATTCCTTTCTTACGTTATTCAGAGTTTTGTAGAATTTTCTTGTTTGGTTTTTGTTTTTAATACCTCAAGTTCTTCCAATACTTTATTTTCGTACATTCGCTTTTTTCTTTTATGAATGCACTTCTCTTCTTTTCTGAGATCTTTATATTTTTGCTGTTGTTCTCGGGTTCTTCTTTGCTGCATCAGTTTATATGCATCGTTTTTTCTTCTTGTAATGTCCTCACACTCAGCATCAAACCAGTCATTACGTGGTGGTGGTCTTTCTGGCCCTAGAATATTATTTGCTGCATCTTTAATATTATTTTTACACATTTCCCATTGTTCACTAATTGTTAGGTCCTCATGAATTATGTGATTCTGATTTGTAATATAGTAGAGCATATTACACTGATTTGTAATATGCTCTTCTATTTGACTGTTGCCTATTTTTTTCCATTTCTTCATATTTCTGTTCTTCGTACTTCTTTATTTTCTCTCTAATTAATTTTCTTGTTTCTCTGCGTGATGTTGCATAGTTTTCTTTACTTTCTGCTGTTTCTTGTTGAAGCATATTGTTTCGCTTTATGTGTCTGTCGTGTAGTTTTTCTTGACATTCTCTATGACACCATTTCCTTGTTTTCTTCCTGATTTTTCATATTGTTTGTTCTGCTGACTCCGTAACTGATTTTTCCATTTGTTGCCACAGTCTTTTGACATCATTGCTCTGGTCTACTGTATTTAGATGCTGTTTAATTTCTTTCTTGTAATTTTCTCGGATTTCCTCATTTTGCAGTTTCTCGATGTTCCACTGTAATAATGCTTCGTTGGCCTTAGGTTTCTCTGAAGATATTCTCAACCTAATCTTTGCTCTTACATCCAGCACATTACTTCTATATCTAGCATCGATAATTACGTGGTCAATTTGGTTCCGCGTGGAGTGGTCATTAGAGACCCAAGTCTGTTTATGAATATTTTTATGTTGGAATATAGTTGACTTTACAAGTATATTGTTAGCCGATGCTAGCTCTACGAGCCTTAGTCCATTGTCGTTTGACATATCGTGGATGTTGTGTTGTCCTATTATCGGTCTTAGGTTAGGTTCTTTGCCAAATTTTTGTTGAAATCTCCACAGATAATTATCTGCATGTCTTGATTGGGGATTTTCTCAAGCGTTCTTTCGAGTTGTTAATATAAGTAATCTTTATTATATTCGTCTTGATCTTCTGTCGGAGCATGTGTGGATATAATTGAGAT